TCTCGGAGCGCACAGACGCTCTAGGACTGTGATCACCTTGATCACTAGCGAGCGACTGCACGCTGTCATCTTTGTGCTCACTGGGCACTGGGCTGTGCCCTCCCACAGAGCCCGCAGGAGCATCGTGAGTGCTCTCGGACTCGGCATCGTCCTCACTGCCCGAGTTGAACTCACGTTCCACGAACCGAGGGTTCGGACAATTGGCTGAAGATGAAAGCGACGGACTGCGGCGCTTGCTTGCTCGCTTGTCCACAGCCGCGTCACCCGAGGAACGATCGCCTCGGAGGCCACCTGAGTAGCCTCCTTGAGTGCAGAGCCTTTGCCGTGAGGCTTAGTGCTCTTGGCTTGCGCCTTACCGGCAGCAGCCTTGGAGCGTGTCTTAGCACCACTCTTTGCAGTGTCACGAGGCATGGTAACGGTCGAATTGGAGACCTAGACGAAGAGCGCACAAGTTGCTGCTCGAGGCTCTAACTGTGAAGTGAGCCTCCGCCGCGCTCGCGCGGCCAAGTCGACGGTTTTCGACTTTGAGAATGAGAGTTTGTGACGAACACCTCTTCACTCTAAATTGGTCGGTAAACCGAGCCTAAGTGGGGGAGGATGTAACGGGGTACGTAACCCTAAGTGTACCCTGGTTACATGAAGTGTGACACTTCACACTTCAGGTGTATGACACGTCATACTCCGGGATATTTGGTACAAGGTACCAAGGTCGTTCAAAGCCAACCATTGGTCAAACGACATTGCATTTCTATAGGTAACTTATAGTTTGTATTAAACCTAAACTTAATCTGCTTATAAATATACTCAGTTTACAATCTACCTTATTTAGGTCACTTCGCTCTCTTTAAATAAAGAGGGGACCTGTGAACTGTTTTTCACTGAGAGTTTGTATACTCTCGGAAGATAACTTCCTCTAGCGCAAGGTGCTGTGTGACCCCGTCACATCATCTCTCCCAGCGGATGGCCCACTGGCTTTCGTTCTTCTCTGAGTACAGCTTCGTTGTCCACTACAAACCCGGCAAGAACAACATTCTCGCCGACGCTTTGTCTCGGCGTCCCGACTACGACCCACGCGGTGCATTGGGTCGACAAGCTTCGCTGGATGAAGACGATGTAGACGAGTGTGCCACGTGCGAGGCGTCAGGCGTCGACCTGACGAGCGTCACCCCGGTAATGCCACTTCGCGACGAGATCCGAGCTGCTTACGACCATGACTCGATGTGCTCCAGTATCCTGGAGCATCTCCGCTCTCCCAGCGCCGATACACTGGGAGCCCTTTCCCGCTCTGTACGAAACAAAATTCTCCGATATCGTCTCGAGGACGAGCTGCTGACGTACAGCATCGACAACTTCGATTCCCCACGTATCGTTGTCCCTAACGACCCCGATCTGCGCTCACGGATTATCCATGAGTTTCATGATGCCCCGCTGGGTGCTCATCTCGGTCGCGAGAAGACATTTGCCGCTGTGTCACGCGACTTTTATTGGCCCCACCTGTACAAATGGGTACGTAAGTGGGTGCGCACCTGCAAGATCTGCCAGCGCGTGAAACCTGCCTCGTCTTCGCAAGATCACCTGCGTCCTCTACCGGTGGCCACCGAGGCGTGGCGCTCGGTGTCGATGGACTTCATCTTCGGGCTCCCACCCGATGCTAAAGGACGCTCAGGTATCTTGGTGTTCGAAGACCGCTTCAGCAAGATGGTCCACCTGATTCCGTGTCGGATTCTACCGCGGTGCACTTCATCGATGCGGTCTTCCGCCATCATGGTCTTCCTGAATCCATCGCCTCCGACTGCGACCTGCGCTTCACGTCGGCCTTCAGGTCGAAGCTCTTCGAGCTACTGGGCTCGAAGCTGTTGATGTCCTCAGCAGCCCATCCGGAAACGAACGGCCAGACGGAGCGCGTAAATCGCGTCCTCGAAGACGTCCTTCGAAGCTACGCGACGTCGTTCTCCAACTGGAGCTCGTTTCTGCCTCTGGCCGAGCTCGCGCTGAACAACGCGGTACACGCGTCGACTGGGCTGACGCCCTTCTTCATTAACAGCGCGCGACACCCGCGTGTCCCTGCTCTTCTCGCCGTGGGCCATCCCACAGCGCTGTGTGTCTCCACTCTGGGTGGGGAAGAAGCTGCCGACAAGCCGTCTACTCCAGCTCCGATGTCTCCGGCGGCAACACCGGTACTGGGTCAACCGGTACACACACCGGTTGCTAATGATATCTCGAGTGTATCCCCAGTCCCCACATCGGTCAGCGCAGTGACACGTTCCGCATCGAGCCCACTTGCGCCGGCTAACTACGCGCCAAAGCATGCGGCGCGACCAATCGACTCCGCAGTCGTCTTCGACTTTGTACTACAGCGCCAAGTGGTCACCCGCTATGTTCGTGATCGTGACGCACGGCAGGACGCAGTGGACAAGCAGAAGGAGAACGCTGATAAGGCTGGCCGCAAGAACACGGCCACGTTTACGACAGGCGAACGAGTGCTCCTGTCGACTGAAGGTATCAGAAACTCTGCGGTTACCAACCTCGGCGCGAACAAACTCGCGCCGCGCTTTATTGGGCCGTTTACGGTGATCAAGACCATTGGTGACGCTTACACTCTGGATATTTCTTCGACACTACGGCTACATCCGACGTTCTACGTCGGACGTTTAAAGAAATACCATCCGTCCGAGATCCCGGACGCTGATTTGTCCTCGAGTGACGCGGCAACTTTCCAGCGAGATGGTCCTCCTCCTTTGATCGACTCTTCGGGCGCTCAGCGTTGGATCGTTGAGCGAATCGTCGACCACGACTTTCGCCAGTGTCATGGTACCCGTGACGGTCACACTGAAGCGTTTCCACAGGGTCGCGCCCTGCGGGACAAGGAGCAACACTATCGCGTGCGTTGGCTGGGACTCCCCCCAGGTGAAGATACTTGGGAGCCGCGCAGTCGTTTGCGGGAAGACGTTCCCGACATCGTGAACGAATACGAGAAGACACTCACGTTCCGAAGCGCGAGTGAGCCGGGTGCTGATATTCGCGGTGAAGAAGGCGACCAGCCTCCGCGGGTACACGGAGGCGCTCGCCGTAATATTCAAGAAGAAAACTGGAGTTGACGCCGGGATCGAACCGGTGACCAGCTACACGAGAGCTCGGCACTGTACCGCTGAGCCACTCGGTGAGTAAGCCGAGTGAACAAGTGAGTGAGTGAGTGAGTGAGTGAGTGAGTGAGTCAGTGAGTGAGTGAGTGAGTGAGTGAGTGCTTGCGTGAGTGAGTGCTTGCGTGAGTGACGCGAGGTTCCACGACGACGAGTGAAGCCCCAGCTCGCAGGTCACCTATATTCCGACGTCGCAGTCGCCTGGGTCTACAGGATACTTCTCCGTACGCTGTGCAGTCGCACATCGTCGCTCAGTCAGCTGAGTGAAGTGGTTGTCGTCCCCGTATTCGCGGTCTCAAGTACCTCGTGCGCTGTCTTCGTGATCCTCGTGTCTGCTAGAACATCGTGGACGTTCCACAATGAGCGTATCCCCAAGCACAAGGAAGTCTCCAGTCGGCGCTCAGTCTTTGCGTCTGTGGTGATCATCGTGCCAGCGTTTCCTTGCAAAAACACTTACTCGTGCACTTGTCGCGGAGTTTGATCTCCGTGCGAATCGAACTCACGCGTACTGCGCGTGAGCATGCTCCATTACCCGCTCGGACACGACGTCGCAAAGATCTCGATGCGCCTCAGGGCAACTCCAAAGGTCCAAGCTCCACTCCACCAGAACCTCACCTGACTCCTCGAAGCCCACGTGTGTCGACACCAGCGCCAGCGCCGGTGGCCTCCAAGCTGTTGTCTGAGATGGCTCCTCACTCTGCACGCTCGCTGCCGAGCGTGGTGTCTCTTGTTGATACGCCAGTGGCTTGATGTCGCGAGTGTCGACGCTATCTCCGCCGTTCCAGCAGTCTTCTCCAATGTTCTTCATCAGTGCTTATGTTGCGTAAGTGCAACTTTAAGAGGGGGTAATGAAATGGGCCCCTCCATTACATAAGTAGGTAGATTTCTTTACATAAGTAGGTGCATCAGCACACGACTAGTCGTGTTCTGAAATGCTGTCATGCCATTGGCTGATATATAGGGAGCCAGACCCATTATTAGCCAATTGAACTATGACGTGTATTTGAGTGGCCAGGGCTGCGGCCTTGGTCCTAAAATAAAGTTAGAGTTGATTTTTCCTTAAACCTAAGACTCAGTCGTCCTATTGCGAGCTTCCTCAACACTATAGTGTAAGCAAGTAACGGAGTAAATACGTGGCCCGTAACAGTCTACAACTTATATAGTTAAATACATGACATGAATACATGTATCATTATACGACTGTCGATCGGGCAAAGGAACCAGGACTTGCAGAGCCTACTGATACACGTACCGTCAATTTATTGCTATCCCAGTCTACGCTCCAGCCCTAGCTCAGATAATCAAACCTTGCGTTATTCCAGAGCTAAAGTTTTATTTAGAGAACTTTAGCTTCTGAAATAACTCAGGCTTTGTAAAAAAATTGACTTCGTCCAGAAATATTTTTCAGTGGAATAGCGAAGGGTCGCGTTATTCCACTGGAATAAAGTATTCGAATATCGATCGGTAATCTATCCGTCATGTATTCAGATTTTATCCAGATAATCGTTTTTCCAAGCCTTGCTTTATTCCAGAAACTAAAGCTCTCTTTATCTCACTTTATATTTCTCTTCATTTCTTATGTGTATAAATACCGGGGTTATTTCTTACGGAAATTGAAATAACCCTGAAATAATTTTCAGAGAACTTTGTACCGCCTGCTCCAAAAACCAAATTTAGACGGAATTGACAAAACCCAAATATGCCTTTATACAGGCACGTGAAATAAATATCCAGATAATTTATTTGATCAGATTTCACTTTTTTCACTTGAAAGCTGGAATTCTGCTTGTGTTGCTCAAACTTAGAGCAACTTTCAATTGATGGACACCCAGCCATTCGAAGAGCTCCACAGTTAAAGTCATGGCTTCGCGTGCGTTCCGCCAGGCCCATCCTCCGGTGCAAGACGAAGAAGCCGCAGCCGCATCTGCCGCTGCAAAGCTTAAACAGAATGAGCGCGAGCGCCTCGAGATCGAGCGGCTAGAGGCGCGTATTGCTGAGCAGACGCCTGCACGAGGCTCCCAGCTTGGTGAGGCCGCCAGTTTCGATCTGTTTCCGCTATCTGAGGCCTCACGTCGCGGTCTAAGAACCTGTGGCTTCACTGCTCCTACAAAAATTCAAGTCGGATCTCTACCTCACGCACTGGCGGGACGAGACGTGCTCGCAGCAGCTAAAACAGGCTCAGGAAAGACACTTGCATTCTTGCTACCGGTACTGGAGAAGCTCTTCCGTCTCCGTTGGAGCGTGGAAGACGGACTTGGAGCACTCGTCATCGCGCCTACACGAGAACTAGCGTTACAGATCTTCGAAGTGCTGCGTAACGTGGGCAAGGCGCACGCGTTCTCGGCAGGTCTGGTCATCGGTGGCAAGAACTTCCGCGAGGAACAGCTCCGTCTCATCCGTATGAACCTGCTGATCTGTACGCCAGGTAGACTGCTACAGCACATGGAACAGACGCCTGCCTTCGACGCTAGCAACCTACAGGTGCTGGTACTGGACGAAGCCGACAGAATCCTGGATCTAGGCTTCCAGAAACAGTTAACGTCTATTCTAGAGCATCTACCTCCCGCAGGAGAACGACAGACGATGCTCTTCTCAGCTACACAGACTAAATCTGTCAAGGATCTGGCCGCGCTGAGTCTGCGCGAGCCAGAGTACGTTGCAGTGCACGAACACTCGGCCAACGCCACTCCTAAGGGCTTACAACAGAGCTACGTGGTAACGCCGCTGGAGCGCAAGCTGGACGTGCTGTTGTCCTTTATCAAGTCGCATCTTAAGCAGAAAACCATCGTGTTCTTGTCCACATGTCGTCAGGTGCGCTTCGTGCACAGCGTCTTCTGCAAGTTACAGCCGGGTATCCCTCTCTGTGCGTTACACGGCAAGTACAAGCAAGGCAAGCGTGTGGAAGTGTACTATGAATTCTTGAACAAGCCAGCTGCCGTGCTTTTTGCGACAGATATTGCAGCTCGAGGTCTAGATTTCCCTCAAGTCGACTGGGTATTGCAGCTAGACTGCCCGGAAGACGCAGCCAACTACATTCATCGTGTCGGTCGTACAGCGCGATACAATAAACAGGGGAAAGCTCTGATGTGCCTTGTGCCGTCCGAGGTGGACGGCATGATGAAGCGTCTAGAGGACGCCAAGGTGCCGATCCGGGAGACGAAGCTCAACCCAACAAAGACCTCGAGTTGTCGTCAAAAAGTGGCGTCTGTCGTGGCAGGAGATAAGGAGATTAAGGCGCTGGCACAGAAGGCGTTCATGTCTTATGTGCGTTCGGTGTACTTGCAGCCAGATCGTGAGGTGTTCGACGCTACAGCTCTGCCTCTAGACGCATACGCTGAGTCTCTGGGTCTTCCAGGTGCTCCACGGATGCCGTTCCTGTCCAAGATGAAAGCTGAGCATGAGCAAGGAGGCAATGAAGCTTTACGTGAGGAACTTCGCGGTAAGAAGAACGTGAACCGAAAGTTGCAGCAACTTAAGGAGAAAATTAAGGCCGAGAAGGAACGTAAGCGGTTGGCACGGCAACTGGCTGCGTTGGGTCCAAAGGAACAAGAAGCAGCCAAGAAAAAATTGGAGAAACAACATGAAGAGGACGAGGAGGAGGAAGAAGAGTCGCTAATGGTTGTCAAACGGGTACACAACTGGGACGACGACGAGCCGCTGGACTTGGAATCACTTGGCCCTAGTAAGAAGATTCAGAAGAAGCTGCGTGTGGACCGTGAGGTCATCAACGCTTCGAAGATCGTGTTCGATGAGGAAGGCAACAGTGCCAAGATCGCAGACCGTCTATCGGCGCGTAGTAGTGCGGACACGGAGTTTGCGGACGTGGAGCAGCACGCCAAGAACTACACGGAACAAGTGGCTGCTCGACTCGCTGCTAAGGACGAAGAGGATCGTCGTCTGGAGAAGGAGCGTGTGCGTGCCAAGCACCACAAGAAACGCATGAAGGTTAAGGGTGAGCGCGACGACGAGAGCGAAGACGAAGGTGCGCGTCTTGCCGTAGCTTCAGACGATGAAGATATGAGCGGTGGCAGTGAGAGCGACAGCGAGGAAGAGGCCAGCAGCGACGAAGACGAGAGTGACAAGAAGAATGTCGACCTCCAAGCTGTTGCCAGCCAGGAAGAAACGGCGTTGCGCATGCTGCAGCGTCATTAGATTCTGACAAACATTCTCGAACTACCGTTTACCCATTTCTTTTCGATAATAGAGTCGTCCACTATGGTAGGACTTTTTTTTCTTCTGCTTGGGTCATTCTACATTTTAAGTCTTAGTTCGGAGCGATGGCGGATGCCACTTGCTCTCCTGCCAAGCACCCTCTGCATCGCCTTCCTTCCGGCATGCGTGTACCCACTGATTCTCCATCACCTTCTCGTCCACGTCGTCGCCGTGTACGCGCCGTGGCTATGATCCTGGACGACGTGCTATACGACCATTCAAAGCTCTTGTCGCATTTGGCGATCGACCGCGGCGTAGCTCAATTGCTGTCGGAAGGCGCGTTCCCAACAAACGCTGCCGCTTTCGAAGCTCTTCAAACCTTCCGCAATGCTTACGGACTCCGTAAACGCTTCCCGCGCTTCGTTGATAGCCTCGTGAGTGGCCCACAGGCCAAACTATCGCCGGCTCAAGCGCAACGCGTCATCACGGCTTACTATGAGAGTAATGTACCGGAAGCACGAAGCATCACGCCATTCGCGGGTGTACGCAAGACGCTAATGGAGCTACAAGACGGCGGTGCCTGTCAGCTAGCGCTGTTATTGATCGGTAAGCCGGAGGTACAACGCGAACGACTTAAGGCTCTGGGAGTCGAGGATCTGTTCAATCAAGTGGTATACGTGAGTTCCAATCCAAGCTTGGCGCAGATCACAAGCGCTATGAAACAGCTTGCGAGGCAATTACAAGTACCATCGTCTGCCGTCATGTTCGTGGGTCGCAAGGCGTTCTACGAGATCAAAGCGGCGAATACTGTGGGAATGCTCACTGTCCGCATGGTACGTGGAGATCTTGAGGTGATTTGAGGGGTGTTTGGTTAACCTTTAATGCACTGTAGCTCTTCGGCAAGTACACGAGCGTGATGCCAACGGACGAGATGGAACAGCCCAACTTCCAGGTAAGGAAGCTACTTGATAATGTCTACTTATGTGATACTGAGCAACATTTGGTTGTGCTGTAGATCGAGTCGATCGAGCAGCTTCTGCCGATTGTTAAACTGGCAGACCAGCAGATGCTGCAACCTAAGATCGTGGCGATTGGTGGCGGCACGGGTTTGGCTGTGCTACTCAAGGAACTGCGCCACTATCCTGCTGATCTCACTGCTGTCGTCACCGGTAGGTGTGCCGACTTAACTGCTGTTAGGAAAAGTAATTAACTCTACGTTTCCCCTTTGTAGTATTTGACTCGGGTCGCCACTCTGGTGCGCTACGCAAATATCTTGGCATCCTTCCACCCGGAGATATTCGCAATTGTCTCGTGGCGTTGTCCGACTCCGGTTCGTACTTCTTTACCCTAACGAATCTCACGCAACGTGTACTTACTCTGTCCACCACTTCTCGTTTAGATGAACTCTTGAGCAAGTTGATGAATTATCGCTTCCGTGACAACTTCATGGAAGGCTGCAGCTTAGGCAACCTGCTGCTAGCTGCGCTGACCGATCTACAAGGCGGTTTCGACCGTGCTATCTCGTCCATCTCCGACATTCTCAACATCAACGGATCCGTTCTACCAGCCACACTCGAAAGTACGGAGCTGTGTGCCGAACTTATGGATGGATCCACAGTTGTCTCTGAAGTTAATGTGCGTAGTCCCTTCAAGCCAGAAGAAGAGGAAGAGCCTCGTTCCGAGTCCAGTTCTTCAACAAGCAGCTCGAGCGGAACGCCACCAGCAACACCTCCCAAACCTGAAGAGAAGATCAAGAAAGCGCCGATCAAGCGCGTATATCTGGAGAACCAGAACGTGGAAGCTTTCCAGCCTGCAGTGCAAGCCATCGAGGACGCCGACATCATCATCCTCAGTCCTGGTGGTTTCTACACTTCGATTATCTCTACGCTGCTGGTTCCAGGCATCCGTGACGCCATCGCACGGAGTGCCGGTGCAACCGTGTACGTGAGCAACGTGACCACGCAAAACGGTCAAACTGATGGCTACACGTTGGAGAAAACGCTCGACGTTCTCTCCACTTATCTCGGTGCGAATGCCATCGACTATGTGATCGCGAACAACACTCAGCCACCAGAAGACGTACTTGCGCCTTATGTAGAGCGTGGAGAAGAACTGTTGTTGCCTACCCATGACATGGCAGCTAGTAAACATCCCGTGTTGCTCCAAGGACAAACGTTCCAGGAAGATCTAGTAGCTGGACATGTGACGCGCGAGTGGAAGAAAGCACCGATGCTCAAGCACAGCGGTCGTCGCGTAGCTGCAATTCTCTACACCATCATTGACAAGGAGATGGCACGCTACCGGCAACAACATGAACCACAGTCTGTAACCCCAAGTACATGTAGTGCTGCAAAGCCGAAGAAGTTATGGAAGTCAGCGTTTACAGCACCCGCCGCGGTCTTTGGATTGCTAGCAGCCACAACGCTACTGGCATCTGTGTTTCGTCGTTAAGGAATACTGAGGTACACAAGATGACGGTAAATATCAAGTTTGTTTCGCTCACGTCACTTACATAGAAGTTCTACGCTCCCTTTTCTCCCCCTGGAAGCACAACACTACGAGTCATATTTTCACACATACGTTTTGAAGCACACAGGGCTTACTTTCGCGGCAGAGATGATACAGAAGATGACGTAGAAGTCGTAGAAGACCTCGAAGGTCCCCCGGTGCACGTCTGACCTGGCTGTTCCTCAAAGCCATGATGTGTCACTGCATATTCCGAGAAAGCTTGTGTGGCGATAAACAGCGTTCGGAACTCACGCATCTCGGGCGTGGAGGCTGCAAGATAGCTGGCTTCGTCGAAGAAGACGGTGCGTTTACGAGCAAACTCGTCTGTCCACACGTAGCGGTGATAGCCAAAGTCGCCGATAAGTTTGTTGACAGCTCGGAGGAATAATCCGCGAACTGCTACCTCGGGAAAGACTAAAGGTTTGCTCGGGAAGTGGTGAGCAAATACATGATCGCTACGACTCACGTTCGGCTTGAGACATTCGTACAATGCGTCGCGTAGATCAAACCGTACACTGTCCGGAAGAGCACACGGTACCTCTCCACGTAACACAGCCCCCTTATCCAAGTCCACGACCAACAATTCCTCTCCAGCTCCAGCGAAAAGATCGTCGCCCCCTTCCTCAACAAGTTGACGTTGGGCGTCGTCAAGCGCTTGCTTCTCAGCACCGAAGATAAAAGGCGTCGGACACTCCAGATACTGTAGCATTCGTCGAGGAAGCACAGGTAGGTACACATGCGGCCACGACAGCGGGTGCATAAGAGCACGTAGTGACTCAGCAACTTTCATGAGCACTGACAGATACGACGATACCAACAGGATGCGGTTCTCCAGTAATGCTGCCGTAAACACTAGCAGAACTGTTGAGATGTCCAATGTGTCGAACAACAGACGCACAGAGTGATCCAGTCGTGGAAGCGCTGCAAGTAACGAAACTGATGTAGCTTTAGGAGTCAAGCCTCTTGCTTCAAGCAGCGGTGAGTCAGGAAGCGGTGACGGCTGGTGATACTGCGAGATGTGTTCCTTTGACACAGATCGAGTCAACGTGGCAAGCACCTTCTTGTCAAGCTTGAAACCTTCCCCACCGTAATTAAAAACCTCTTTGCTGTCGCTATTAGCAGCAGCAGTAGCAGCAATTGTCTCCAGCTCTAGAATAAACTCGTACGCTTCTGCAAGACGCTCTCGAAGCAGATCCACCATCGGAAACTTTGACAGCACGCACACTCCATACGGTATCCATCGACATCCACTCGTTGAGTTTATCCGGGAGCTTTCAAGCGCACGTCGCGATAATGGCGGTGCTGGCTTATAGAGAACCACACAAGCTGCAAATAATTCGGCAGCTGAAGCACCAGCACTACTGTCGCCCATGCGAAAGTTAAACGCCAGCGGTGCTGGACAAGACGGAGCTGTAAGTACCACATGTCTGGGGTCTGCACTCCACGGAACAAGAAAATTTTCCACAGACTTGTCCACGACATGAGGTGTCGGGTCATGCGGCAATGGGTGCTGTACTACCTGCAGCTCAATTGAGTCTTCGAACACCCCAATGCCAGAATCATCAGTATCATGCTCTGCTTCTTCCGCTGTCATGGACACAGCTACAGCTTCAAAGGTGAGTACACCAGAGATGGCTTCAAAGCTTCGTGCAGTGCGTAGCGAGTCCAGCGTCTTCTTCTTTGGCGCTGAGGCTTCATCGCGAGTACTGGATGACAAAACCGACATCGATCCGTTAGATGACGAAGAACTCGAACTACCACCAGCCCAATGATGTGCGCGCAATCCGTAGCTTAAAAGTAACGCTGACAGCCGCATAGAATCGTCGATAGAGTCCTTCTCGTCTTCAGGTGACAGCTTCGGGTACAATGCAAACTCAGCGTAAGCACGACTCGTAAGAAAGCGATGATACAGCTCCAGATGAATGAGGCTGAACTTGGTCAATATTGCGTCTTGTTCTGCTTGCAATCTAGCACAGGACGTCACCAGTGTGCGCGATAACGTCTGCATCTCAGCGTCCCCCGCGTAATATTTCTGTGAAATGTACTTGAGCAATCTTCTGCAGCGATACGCAGCCTGCTCTATGCGTTCACGACGCTGGTTACTGGTGCTGCTCGATAACGCGCTTCTGGAGCTGCCACTAGACTTGAGCAGCGACATGTAAATGCGGAAGGCTGGCTTGAACTCATACTCGACATCCAACCACAACGCAATCTCACGATGGTAGTTATGTGGGAACAGGAATATCCAAAAGAAATTAGCGAAGCGGTGGTTCATCAGGATATCCTCGAGGCAGATGACTTCACGCTCCACTGTCTTCTGCATCTCCGTATAGAGGTCCGTCTTGCGAAATTCAGGAAACTTAAACATCAGCACCCGTTTAACTTTAACAGCCACGTCGTCAAAAGTGCGTAGCGCATCTTCACCTCCCGCTGCGAGGTCCCGCTTGATGGACCGTAGTTTATTCGAGTCCACGATGGGAGGCTCGTCACTCCCACCGTCTGCATCGATCGAGCCGTTTATCAGGAACTGCGCGTTCTTCGCCAAGTATTTCATCGCAATTTTGACGCCGTATGTGCGTAGCATGAGCACGTCATCCTTCGCGAAAGGTTTCTTCTGGTAGTTTGCACGCAACGTGCACCAAAACTGCCGGTACTCTTCAAACGAGCACAGGAAGAATAATTTACTCTGGTCTGCAGGATCAGGTAGCCACGCCGCGTAGTAGCGCATCATCCGTGGGTTACTGATAACTTCCTCAATAGAAATCAGCGTGGTCGGGTCTGGTATGGGTTGGTGCGCTGGGAACGCGAATTGCTGCTGTTGTCGCTGTAATACTTCGTCCTTAAAGGCGCGCTGCATGACTTTGCCGATATTGTGTTGATACTGATCATGCATCCAGCGATTCCACTTCTGAAACTTGGCTCCACCATTGGAATTCTGGCCAAAAGATGGCAATGGGGGAAGTATTGAGTGATGCTGTGTTGACGATGAAGAAACAGCTGATGAGGCGCCCGACAAGGCTCCAAAGCCACTGCCACTGCTCATCTGTGCGAGAATCTGCTTCTGTTTGTTCGCCCAAATCTCTGCTGACGTCGGCGCTGTTGAGTTCACCGTACCATGGCAAGCAGAAGACCCATTCTTGTTGCCTGCAACTGTAGAGTACAGAAAGCTTCGAGCCTTGAGTTTGACGTGCTGTGCCCACCGAGACTTGGCGTTTTCCAGCTTGACATCCTCCTCTTCCTCCTTTATGCTGGTGACTTCGTAACTATTGACGTCTTCGTCCGATCCACTCAGCACTTCCGACAGTTCCCTTGCACTCAGCTCCCGTTCTGGCTCAAATAGGTCCGTCTCATACAGCATCTGCTCTGATATCGTGCTCCTCCTGAACGTGCTTCGACTGGAAAACGAAAAGGCCAAACTATCTCGCGAATGCCTCGACATGGCCAACGAGTCTCGTTCGCTCACCGTACCAGCCATCACGGCATTGGAGCGGCGTTGGTGCGGCAATAAAAAATCGTCCTTGTCTGTATACAGCGACGAGCTCAATGCACTTGCCATACTCTCTCGAATCACCTCCTCGGCTGATATCGTACTATCCGGTGGCAATGGTGGACTCGAATCCAACGACGCTATAATGTAACAGCAAAATAACACACACAAAAATTAGTCTGCAATGCCTACTACTCTCCATCACTTCACGTACATGCTCTTCTGTATCTCTCAGAGCCACTGCTCCCACTGTATGAGTCTCCCAGCATGTTCCTAGTGAGTCGTCCACCGTCCGACATGGCATCTTCATCATCAAAGCTCATTGCTCGAGTGTGAGCGTCCATTGACTGCCTAGCTGAGTCGATATCCATCATCAAAAAGCTAGCGTGGCTGCGTAGAGCAGAAGAAGAGACTGGGACGCCTGCACCGGCGCGGAAACTCGAGCCTGCGCTGTTTAGACGGAAGGAGGAGCTGAGACCTCCGCTCTGGCTGAATGGATTAAATCCTGAGCGACTAAGTCGTAGTCCAGATCCCACCACGTGGTCTGCAGATGCACTACGTCGGAGTTCCATGACGTCACTGGGCAGTAGTGTCCGCTCTGGGTTGTTGACACTGGCATAAGAGGTTGGTGCGGATTCAGCGGAGGGTGCTGGAATGGGCGTGTTCAGGACAGCTCCACTACTTCGACTACGCCGCCGAGGGCGCGTGCGGACGTTGGCGCGCTCAAAGTCATCGCTCATGACAGAACAGGGCGTGAGCGCTGCGCCGATCACTGACCGCACTCGAGCTCGGCTTTGGGATGTGTCTTCCTGCAACAAAGTCGCACTTAACACAGGAGTTTTGGTAAGAAACATAAATAAGGTGGAGTACACCACTTGGTGTGGTGTATTGGTGTGATGTACATTTTGAGATTCTGATTCCTATTCTCCCAGTTGGACAGATCGCTTGGGCGTTTGAGCAGCTATGACCGAGCGTCGAGTGAACGCCGCGCAGGACGCGGTCATTAAGGTGCTGGTATTGGGTGATGCCGCAACAGGAAAGACGAGCATCATCAAGCGGTGCGTAGATTATCCTCTTGTTTTTTTTTGGCACACGAGATTGACTGCTTTTAATGCAGATATGTACATGACGCCTTCTCGGAGCACCATCGCACTACGATCGGCGTGGACTTTGCACTTAAGGCAGTCACGGTCAGCGGTACGACAGTGCGTCTGCAGCTGTGGGACATCGCCGGACAGGAGCACTTTCGCGCGCTCAACCGAGTGTACTACAAGGATGCACTAGGAGCACTGCTGGTCTACGATATGTCGCGTCCAGAGACGTTTGACAGCATCATGAAGGTAGAGACAGGGGGTTATGCGTGTTGATGTGAAACTTGTGTGCTTACACACTGCGATGTAGTGGAAGAAGGAGATTGACTCCAAGGTGGAGCTGCCGAATGGAAAGCCGCTGCCGGTTATTTTGTGTGGCAACAAGGTGAAGTTTCGCTAGTTATAACGCTTGAACATGGAGATACTGACAAGAATCCTGTCATTGTAGTGCGACTTGAAAGAAGATGTGGATCGGGACTTCTTGGACGAGTTCTGCAATACGAACAACTTCACGGGCTGGTTCGACACATCCGCCAAGGAGAACATTCACATTGACGATGCCGCCAAGGCGTTGGTGACGGGCATTCTGGAGCACAAGGACATTTTCAAGCGGAAGTCCGAGGCCAAGAAACGCAACGACACTTTCCGCCCCACGAGTGCTGCCAACAGTGGCAACGCAAACCAATCCAGTTGGTGCTGCAACAGCTTCTAATCTCTCTATTCCGACCAGCACAAGACGTTGTTTTTCATGTCATGTCGATGCATAGCATGCGTTGGACGGGGACGACGCTAATCTTTTTAAAAAGTTCCTAGTACCACTTCGTCTGCGGTAGTTTTGACATTAGCTACTAGACGCTGCGTTCGAGTCTGCGAGACGCCGCTTTTTGTTGCTTCCTGAGCCTTCAGAACGTTGTGTCTTGGTGAAATGCACGGGGAGTCGACGACTGTTTGAGGCAGAAATGCCACGATTCTCCATGCTTCTTCGCACCTGTCGGAGTTCATTCCGTCGAGCTCCTAGTTTCTCCAGCAGCTCTTGCTTGTTGGCCTCTGCTTGATCTAATTCATCCTCCAGTTGGATCATCTCCTGCTCGCGTTCATCCGGACGATGGCTCGTGAAAGACGCCGTGATTTCGTTAATGATCTTTTGAACTTTCGCTTCAGCCTCTGGTTGCTCCGCCTCCATGAAGTCGACGGCGCGGATCAAACGTCGTTCTTCCATTCTCAAGCAGTACTCACAAGATTCGTTCTCGTCACGGGCTTTACATTCAGACAAATGTGCAAAATGGTGCTCCACAGCTCCGCACATAGGCTTGCTGCACACCTGTAGATCCAGATGATGCTGTAAATGATCAAGAATGGACTTGCAGTTCAGCAAACATCGCTGGGCTTTGGAAGGAGCACAAAATGACGCGTCCACAATAGCATAACCCAGCTCCATAACTCCAGCAAACTCTCGTTGTGCCATCTCTCTGTTGTCTCCTTCTGCCTTGGCTCGCAAAAGTTGATTAATGAAATCCGCGTTGAAGTTGGCGGTGCCAGGAATGCTGTCTTCTAATGCATCCTGCGACTGCTGCGCGTTCTCCACAACTAAAACGTTGAAAACATATATGCGTTGGTGTTAGTTTATGAAAATCACTTGAAAGTGTTTGCCAATTACCTGGAATAATGCTGTTACCATCGTCTTGAGTCTCAGATAGTTGCTCAGCCACTTGACCTCCCGTTGATGACTCTGAAGGTGTAGTGCATTCGCTTGTTGGCTCTCGCTTGATAAACACGTTGTCACTTAAGTGCCACCTGTACTTAGGAAAATTAAAGATCGGAGCGCTGCTTTCTCTGGCCAGTCGATTTAGTCGGTCGCTTTCTGCACGGAGAGGCTGCTTGCGTTCGGTCCACCTGTTGATACTTTGCAAGCAGAAATTGCGAGTTGCTTCGTTGTGTGCGCCTTGAAGCGCTCGACGTTGGTCGTTAATAAGATGATCGAACGCAGCACAAACGCCGAGAGTCCGTCTTTGCCGGATACGAATACAAAACGGACACACAACCTTTTCGCCATCAGTCGAAGACTTCGCAGAACACGTACTTAGGTGTCGGTAGATGACGGAAATCTCTGTGCACTTGGGGTCGCGACATACTTCGTCACTCTTGCAATGTTCATAATGTAGAAGTACAGAGCGACACGTTGGCTCTTCACATTTTCCAATCCGCGCGCATATGAGTGCATCCTCGACGACAAGAGCAGCTTCGATTCGAGTAGCCAACATCTCCATTAGTACGTGGTCAGTTGTAGGGAACCAGCGCAGCAGCTTTTCCAAATCCACAGGTTTGGGCTGGAGTGTAGACTTCGATCGCGACTGCACAGTAGAAACAGCAGTAGTAGCAGTAGGCTGATTAGCTGGAGCTGGTGGCACTGAAACAGATACAGTAGGGGCGTCAGTTGGGGCAGCAAGAGATGCCGCAGAAGACGCTGGTGAGGCTTCTGTAGGAGCAGGGTTTGTCGAGTTAGTCACCGAAGTAGAGTGTGTAGCTGTTGATGCTTGGGATGACGCCAGCGACTTCTTTTTCTCTTCGTCGGCATTCGATTCAGGTAGTTCTTCAACTCTTGGAGCCTTACTTCCCAATGTTGAAACTAATAGCGATGCAGAATTTGCCGTTGTTGCTGATGTGTCTTGCGCAGATAAATCTTTTGCCTCTTCCACTTCGCCGTCCTGTTCAACACTCATCGCGTCTGCGTCTTCGCCACTGCTCACTGACTCGCCGACCACTTCAAATTCATAGCCATCTTCCACTAGCTCAGCATCTTCCTCTCCACCATCTTTCTTCGATTCCTCCTGCACCTTTTCTTCGTTAGCTGTAGCTAGACTCTTCGTCTCCGTCTTGTCTTCCGTTCTCGCTGTTGGTTTCGTATCTACTACGACATTAACCGCCACTTCTCGAGCTCGATCTCCATTAGAAACAACACTGGATGCATCCCTAGCAGGTCTTGCCTCCGCTGCAGTATTTATGATGCTATTGGCTACGCCGTTCGGAGTAGACCCCCAATCGAGGAATGAGCGGGTCTCTCCGTAGCTGCTCGTGAGCTGGTGGCTGCGCGCGAAACCACGCGAGTGCCACAAGCGGGAGCAGTTAAAGCAAAGCGCCTTCTCTTTGCGCGGGTCGCACGCTGAACACTTGTACAGCCAGGGCTCAATGCGACACCAGCTGCAGACGGTGTCCGCCATTTTGTTATGCGCCAGTAAAAATAATATTTACCACAAATTTTCGTTTAAAACAATGTCACAATGGCGAATGCGAAGCCTTACTACGAGTCGGTGGAGATTACTTGTAATCCTTCGCTGTAACATGTACTTTGAAGCATCAACTATGATAGCTTAGCAGCAGGTCATCAAGATGAGTCATTGGATAAATGATTTTGGGTTGAAATTACGCGGCAGCAACCAAACAGCAAAAGATATCAAGTCCTGCAATAACGTCCACCTAGAGAGGAGAAACATTCACAACACACCGGAAAACAAGCACCACAATGGCCCGACTCAGCACGAAAAACAAACCAAACTTGAGATTTTGCTTGCACTTTCCTGCTTTTTTTACCAGCTATCCTCGTTCTTCACGTCCTCTCTCGCAACGCAGCAGCTAATTTCAGTTAGGAAAAGCATCCCACTGCGTGTAGTAGCTCGGCTGCCTCCACGTGGACAGGTCGAAGATCTCCTACTCCTAGTGTGCTCTAAGTGGCGTACTTGGCCGTCCATTCGCGAGCAGTGGCATCGTGGCGCGCGCGGTCTGTTCTATAAATTTGCGCGATTTCGGGCACGAGCGGGTCATCTGGGTTGGCGTCCGTGAGCAGTGAGCAGATCGACAGCAGCACCTTCGAGATAGTCAACGCAGGGCTCCACTGATCTTTTAAGATATCCAGGCAGATGCCGCCGTTGGCATTGATGTTGCAGTGGTAAATGCGGGTCGTGAAGTTCACCTTGGGCGGCTTGAAAGGGTAGTCGGCCGGGAAGTAGATGTTCAGGAAGTACACGCCACCAGCGTACGGGCTGTCCTCGGGGCCCATGATGGTCGCCTGCCAGTGGAACAGGTCGTCGCCCACGGGGCCGGCACTGCAGTTGGCGGGCGGGTCACGACCCAGATCCTGCAGCTCCTTGTTGATCCGCTTTAAAGCCATGTTCACTTCTGTGCCTTCTCCTCTCTGCTTCGACTCCGCTCCGCTGCTTCCGAAAGGAAAATGACAGCGGCAAAGGGGGAGCGAGGGGGGGGAAAGCTCGCGTGATCCCCTCTATCGCGCAACTCCTTAAAAACAAAATTGGTTGTTGAAAAGACAGTTGCGCAATTAGGGTCTTCTGGAAGTTTTTCTTCGGTTGCGGAGAACAGGCTCATGGGTCGCACTTAAACGGGACTCGCCCAATGTCAAACCCATGACTTACAATTGGCCAAAACGGAAGAAACACAGTGAGTCGATTGGTGGAACAGGGACGCCCCGGGTCATCTTCGTGAACGCGCAAGCGTGTATTGTCACCGAGCCAAGGCGCCACTAGAAGTGGAAATTGTGGCAGCTATATGCATCACTTTAACTGGAGTCCAGCTTCGTTCGGTCTTGGCTCCCGCCAACTAATACCAGCGGCTACGTGGCAGCCTTTCACAATAAAATGTGTCGCCGCCGTCGTCTGGCCACTGGCCAGACGACGGCGGCAACAATTTTTATTGGCCAGTGGCCAGATATCTTTTGGCGATGGCACGACGGCGGAGGACGGAAAGAGACGGGAGCGTTTGTCGCCTGCTTGCTCGTCAACCGCGCGAAGCCTTGCACGCTGGCCTGGCGCAACATTCAGATAATGTCAACATGACCCGCCAACTGTCCCGCTTCAACGTGATCCCGTCGACGTTAATGATGGTGCTCATCACGGTGGTGACCACCTGCCGCGGCGGCTTCCATGCTACTAATGAAAGTTGTACAAACAGGCATATCGTAGTCAAGCGGACCCAGTCGACTGTCGACTCGACAAGGTACTGTAGAGCTCCATCCTTGTCGTGCATTTGAGCTGCAATTGCACCGCCAATGCGTCTACCGGTATTTGTACAAAAGGTTACAATACGCTGATCTGCTCAGTAAATATTAGTAGTATTAATACATTACCTACCACAATGCTGAAGTAGCCTACACCCATGCCCACAATGTCGATATTTTCATCTCCAAGCAGCGACTTTACCAGCAAGCCGTGAGTAGCATCAGTATAAGCAGGTTTGATCATGATGCTGATTGTTTCTATGTGCATACATTTACTGCTCCAATTTACTTTGTACAATGATACCTCCCATACAGCATCTTCTCAGTATCCACTTTCAAAGGTGTGGCACCACCCCGATGCTTTGTAAACTGGCTGGATTGTGGCCGAATCGGCGGCTGTCCGTGTCACTCTTGCTCTTGCGCTTGCGACGCTATAGCGGTAGTGCTCGGCCCGACCACCTTCTACTGTCCATCGCATTTTAGCATCCATGGGTGACCGGTACCGCAGTGCTCAGTCTCCGCGCAACAGCGGCGGAGGCGTGTCGGATGAGCGTTTCGGCAAGCTCGTCACGGAGACGAGCAAGGGCATCTCGACCTTCAACCAGCTCACGCGCAGCATTGCGCAAAAGATGTCGCTGTTCGGAACGCCGCAGGACTCACGTTCCAACCACGTGCAGATTAAGGATCTGACCGAAAAGGGTAACAAGCTCGTGGCCAAGATTAACCGCCGTCTACAGGAGCTAAGCCGGGGAGCCAAGGGTGCTGCTGGTCGTACACGACGTACTCAGGTCAACAAGCTCTCAGCAGACTTTAAAAACCAGGTGCGCGTGTTCGAAGAGACGTGCGAGCGTTTGCTCGAGTCGGAGCGACAGTCGGTTGAGTTTATTCGCCGCTCGTCGCAGAGCTTTAAGGGTAACGACGCCCGCCAGACGCGCGGCGGTGCCGAGTTCACGAACTACAGTGAGGACCAGATCTACGCTCAGGCTAATGTGATCGTCTACGATGAGGATGGTATGGTGGCGTTAAAAACTATTTATTTTATTTGAAGAGAAGAAGGCTGACTAATCTGGAATGTAGATATGCAGCGGAGAGAGGAGGATATTATCCAGATCAACCACCAGCTACGTGAGGTGAACGCTGCATTCCAGGAGATCGATGGTCTTGTGCAAGATCAGGGAGAAATGGTGGTGGAGATTGTGGATAACACCGAAACGGCGAAGGACAACGTGGAGAAGGCTCTGGAGCAGGTGAAGCAGGCCGATGAGCGCAGAAACTGCTGCGCATGCTCCAAGATGAAGCTCATCTGCATTGCCATGCTCGCTCTGCTCGTCTTCATCGCCCTTATGGGCATCATTTTCGCTTCTAAGTGATCAACTGCAACGGGATGTAGGAAAATTGTCATTTTGGCTATCTTGGTTTCGTCTCGTGAATACTGTCAAACCATGAAGGTGACAGCCATCCCCAGCACGAAGTCACAAAGCAGCAGTGAAGGTCGTTTATTTCTAATAGTAAGTGGGTTGTATAACTTCGTTCTATTGTGATTTTTACAATTGACCTTGAAAACTACGAATAAATTCCTCAACACTATTGTTCTTCAAGCTGGAGACGCGCTCCAATTTCAGTGATCATGTGCGAGCCCCGGCGACTATTAAGGTTCCGTTTTGACTTTGAAGATTGGAGGATGCTACCGGCCATTGACTTGAGCACGTTTCCGACCGATCCACTGCTGTTCCGTCGTCGTCGTATAGCTGCTTCCGAAGGTACGGTTGCATCTTCAGTAGCGTGTTGGCGTGCAAGGCGTCGTGCTCGTGATGCCGCCTCTGATGACGAGCTACCACCGCTGCCTACTAGTCTAGTACTAGAGCTTCTTCTTTTGAGATGTGGCCTGGAATCGACAGAAAACATGGCCGAGAAAGGTACAGCAGTATCTCGCTCAGACGAGTCGAAGCACACTGCACAGACGCGCTCCTTCTCGTTCACAGCTTCGACGATACCATTGAAATATCGTGTAGTACCGTGCACACGGCCCATAACGGCCTCTCCGACGATGAAAATCACAGGTGACAACTCAAAACCCATCGTATCAATGCTGTAGTTCGTAAGCCTCTGAGAATGGGACAGCGCTGTAGTATCATCCAAACGGGTGATCTTGTCGGGGGGGATATGTGCTTTCTGCTCGCCAAAGTCGAACACCAACGTGTACATGTACGTCGAGTTCGAATTTACCGGCGACTCGACACCAGATTCTGCATTAATGGGGTCTTGAGAAGTCCTGGCAACGATCTTAGCCGAGCAATATCGTGCAAAACGCGAGCTCCACGCAAGCACGTAGTCTTCCACCGCATAAATCGGCGCCTTATGCGCTCGATTCGAGTTCTCACTGGTGACTACAGTGGTAGTTTTTGTTTGTCTCCGCTGATGCTCCACACTGTCAATAATCATTTGTGACGGGAACACCTCGAAGGCAATAGTACCGTCGGAAAAACGGAGGTCACACGCCGAAGAAGCGTGCGTTTTGATCACGATACAGCTCTCCACAGTGGCTTTACTCGGATGATCCGCTTTAACCTGATATCCTTCCTCCAGCACTGGCAACGACGCTTTTCCTCCACCATGGGCAGCAGCCGAAGCTTGCATTAATACAGCATTCTTTAGAGATCTCACGTCTTGATCTGCAGGCACACTTAAGCGCTTGCGTTTACTGATAAGATGCGGAGGGATCTCGTAACCAGTAGACCCGTCAGCGAAGTCTACAGCTGCCGTTTTGTTCGAGTAAACTCCATTCAGATGTCCAAGTTTCTCTTCCTCGCTTGTGCTGTCGAGATCACCATTTCCAGCCGAACATTTCACGTAGATCTGATCACCAATGTACACTTTGACCTTGCCACTACAAACGAGAAATTGGTCTTCCGTGATGGTAACTGCAGCTTTCTTCTTCTCTCGTAGAGGACTGATCATGTCTGCAGGAACATTCACGAGTCGAATTCGGTTGGCCAGCAAAATATGGAAACGAGATTGATGCTCTCGTTCCAAAGTAATGAGTCCATGGCCGGAAAAGCGACTACCCGGATATAACGAAACCTGAACCTTTTGACCAACAAAGAGCACGCGTTGTGATCGCTCGAGGTCCGTTAGCTGCTGCTCTAGTTCATCCACCGATGGCAAGAAGTCCACTTTGTCATGTGCCACCACCTGTGCGGTAATACCGTCTTCATCTTCCGTCATGACGGCGTAGCCGTCACCGACTCGTTCTTTGACTGTACCGTACGCGCGAATACTATCAGGAGCTCGTTCGTATACAACTCGAAGGCTACACTCCACAAGTGATGCGGTCGGCGAACCTGAATTGCATCGGTTCAATCGTATAGAATGGAGCTTTGCTTCCATCAATCGGATATGTTCGGCCATCAAGAGTTCATCTGTGAGTTTGGTAGGCTGCACCTTTTTGTTGCCACGCATGAAATACTCGGAGATAATCTGCTTGAGACTTCTTGGCGCTGGTTTCTGGCCCTTGTGTGTTACCGATAGTCTATCGATCTGAGAGACCGATGAAACACTTGATCGTCGTCGTTGGGGTCGCGTAGCTTTGCCCATACCGAACGTTTGTGTCATTTGCTGCCACGGTGTCATCGTCATGTCTTCGTCGCTAGAATCATCCGAGTCACTAACTTGCGTCGAGTCGTCTTCGTAGGCCACTCCACACTCAAGTCGCTTCATAGTCAGAGCTTCGTCTTCAAGAAGAAGGCGCCAAGTCTCGTTCACGGTACTAATAACACTGCAAGAAGGCAACCCGATCTCGTAAGCGATACCACTATCGTCAAAGCCCAGTACCATTTCTCTGGGTGGTGTAACGGAGAAGTCCACCATTACATGTTGTAAGGGCGGTAGATACATCTCTGGTGCTTCCGACGGATCAGGGTAATAATCTTCTTTCTCTTCATCTTGCTTTTGCCTGGATTGTCTCCTTGACCTTGTGCTTTTAAGACTCTCTTCTCCGAGGCTCGTCGATTCACTATCTCTCCTCTTACCCTGATCTTGACTGTCACGGCGCATTATCGACGGTGACGCTAATGAAGGGTGCTCCCGCAGCATAATATCCTCGCGCCGAACACGATAATCGAGCGTTCCGTCGTCGAAAACGAGCATAAACATCCCAGAGCCGAGATATGTGGCGAGGTTACCTGAGTAGAAGTACGGTGTCTTCTTGTACCGTCCAAAAACACGCTGACCGTACGTCCACTGGCTGTGCAATGGCACAAAACGCGCTGTCGTTGGTATGTCAGGAGTATTAGAGCTATGCTCGCTGATGTTATCAGATTGCGGGGTCTCCTGATATTGATGAGTGATAGACTCTTGATCGTTCGCTTCTGAGGCTATTGACACAGCCTCTATTGCCTTGATACCGGCTGAATTCCTCTTCGAAGTGACGGTACCATCGCGATGAATCTGTAAGCGTTCACTCGGCTGTCGAATTACCAAAGTCGGTCTGTTAGCAAGCGCCCCGTTATCGTGAAGTTTAATGCGTTCGCTAAGCTGTCGAATGGGCGAAAGCGGAACTTTTCGAATTGGTTGCTCGGGCTTATTGGCGGGTACATCGATGCTCTGCGGGATACTTTTCGTTGGTTGTTCCAGCGTCTTGACAGATAAATTGTCGCATTCACGGGCATAAGCATTCGTATCTTGGAGTGGAGATGCTGGTCGACGTGGAGATGCTGGCCGACGTGGTGATACAGGCGAGATCTCTTGAGTGGTAGCTGTTCGATTATCATGAACTTGAAGTCGACCAGCGAGCTGTGTAGTTGATGAATGTCGACTATCGTTTCCAGAGAATGGAGAATAGTGTTCTTCGAGGTCTGACGTGGCTCACCTGCTTAGTCTACCTGGATGATATCGTAATCTACACTCGCGGTGGGATCGAACGGCATGTGTTGGAAGTCATTATCGAGAGCTCATCTGTCATCGTTGCCATTCCTCCTATGTCAAGCACCGGGAAGCGCCCACTGAGTCGAGGTATCGACGGTCTCGATGCTGTGGCTCTTGGCGAAGCATCTCGAGGTTCAATTGAACCAGTCGATACTAGATCATCGTGAATAAAAAGGTGGCCGGTGGACATCAACGCAGATGGCGGTCTGTTCGATGTCGACTTTGGGGCTTCGCCTTGAGCACCTTCGTCGTGGATAGAAAAGCGGCCGCTGGGACGTCTCGAAGGCGGAAGCCTGGCCCTGGAGTCGACCGCTGAAGCTCCACGCATCTCATTAATTGGCTTGCTAGACACTGAAAGTTCACAAGCCAGTTGTGGATACTGACGCTGAAGGCTTGCACACTATTGTTGGCATACTTGATTGAGGTGCTGGACAGAGCAAACTCACACGCTATTCTTGTGAAAGACCAACGGATCGCTATGGCGTTCGCAATAATATCTGCAGCAAAACCCAGGTCCCAGCATTATTGCAAGCGTAGCGCTTCATAAGATGGTCAGGGAAACTTCAGTTTTAGAAATGGCTACAGTGCTAAGTCTTTTCAGCCAATCGTCGCCTTGCAACCGTCCCATGGCGCTCGACGACGACGATGGTGGCCTCTCAAGACTCCGGACGCCGCCATCGACGCAGTTACAGCTAGCGGTGCAGCACAACCGATACAGACAGCTCCTGCGCACGTTCCTCTCGTGGAAACGGCATGCGCAGACGCAGCGTGAGCGACGAAAAGTACGTAAACGAACATTTGTACAGTTGTATAAAACGCAGCTGATATTTGTCCGTATTGTAAACAGCGAGTCGCCACTGCTTGTCTTGTGGGCTCCATCTTCTGTCAGCGAGAATACTGGTCGAGATGGAGGGCTTTTGTGGCCGTGAGACGTCAACTAAAGCTGGAGGAAGGACGGGAACACGAAAAGGAATCACTACAGGAGAAAGATCTGGACAACGGCGACTGTATTCGTTTTGATAAACAAGTAACGAGTGCAGCGTTAACTTCCGATGGAGGAGACAGTGACTACGACATAAGCAACATTGCGGTTCTGCGACAGCACTTTGATGTACGCACGCAGCCATGGTCGACCCGACGAGTGTTTTTGTCTTTTGACACAATTGATTTTGTATTTGTGCAGAGATGGAGACTTGCAAGCACAAAAAATGGCAAGGGTTCTGCAAAATATTCCAAAGGGGTGGCACGGGTGCGTTCGCTGCTTGCAATTCGACGTTGGAAAGGTTTTATGAAGATGAAGAAAGACCGAGATGCTCTACAACAGCGAGCCTACTTCTTTCTGTATTACTGGCTGCTCAAGCGTTCGTTGAACCAGCTCGGTCGCTATACACTAGTCAAGAAACGAGACCGTCTGCTGACTGTCAAAATCATGAAAGCGAATCGACACCGCATACTGATAAAAACAATGCAAAACTGGCGACTGCGACTACAGCTGCTTCGAGTATTTACGCTCTGGAAAAGTTATGTGCGGCGGCGACATCAACAGGCACTTCTGTACGGACCAATTGCTGAGGCGCTGAAGCACAAGACGCACCATCGTCTTCTCCTATTCATGTTTGCTATTTGGGAGAAGAAACATGCACAAACGCAAGCACAGCATGCCCTTATTCGTATTGTTGACCGTCATTTGTACCGGAAAATATGTGAAAGAGCGTGGAAAACGTGGAAAACCAAGGCACATCAGCTTACTCAAGTGGAGTCTTGTCAGCGTCGCTATCAAGAGCGATCACTGCGGCGAGTATGGAATGCGTGGAGTACTCGAACACGAGAAAAAGAATTGCGCGAACAGCAAAGACGTCGAGCCGTGCGTCACTATTATTTGGCACTTTTACGTAAGGGATTCCATGGATTTCGAGCGTGGCATGCTGAGCGACAACTTGCGTTAAACCGAGTAGATACTATGCAAGACGCAGCAGATTTCAGGATGCTGGCGCTAACTTTCTCACGTTGGGATCACTATACTAGCGAGAGAAAGCTGCAAGCGCACAAGAGTGAGCGCGCTACGCGTCATTATGACTCTCGGCTGCTAAAACACGTTTGGTCAAAAGGGTTTCAGCGCTTTTATTCCAGAGCATTGTCAAAGAAAAGAATGCTGCGAGCGGCAAAGGATCACAACTACACTCGAACAGTGAGGCGTAGCTTTGATACATGGAAGTATTTGTGGCAAGCTGAGCGCAATCGTGGCCAAGTTTTGGACAAGAAGGTGCGAGAATTTTTGGGCGAAAAAGAACGAGTTATCAAGGGGAAATGCTTGGAGAACTGGTCAGAGTTTGCTCGCGCGAAAGCAGCCAGAAGGATCGTAAATGCTCAAGTCCGGGGCCAAGCACAGCGACGAACTCTGCAAAAGTATTTGTCACATTGGATAACGTTTGTCTCTGTTCTACGGTGGAAGCAAATAACTCAAGCACGAGCTGAACAGCACTACAAGTCGGTAATCTGGAGGAAATGTTTCGAACGGTGGCGACAAAATGTAGCTCTGCGTCAGTGCTACCGTAAGAAGACGCGTATGTCGCTGGTGCATTGGAAATTGACGCTGCAACGCAAAGCATTTGACGGGTGGAAGCAGTATTTAAATCTCAAGAGGATGAAGCAGCATCGTATCCATGAAGCGCTTGAGTTTCGCCACGAGCAGTTTGTACGTCAAGGTTTGCGTCATTGGATGACAGCTGCTCTGTCTTTGCAAGAGCAGCGTGAACAGCAAGTGGCGCGTACTCAAGCAAGCAACACGACGCATGTTTGGCGTAAGGTTGCAGCGATAGCTCGACACTGGCGTTACCTCGCTATTCGAAGGCGAGGTCTAAAGGAAAAGGGACAATCTTTAGACATGAGAGGTGCACCGCGACGAGTTCAAGAAGAGATGTACTGGCCATCTGAGCATCAACAAATAGGACGCACACAACAAAAACAAACCTCAGTGCCACAATGGAGGAAGATCACTTTCGCAGAGAATGGTGGGAGCTCGAACTGGACGAAGGAGAGATCTCCGCTATCAGAATTCGTATTGCTGCCAAGGAACCGACCACAACCTCGAAGACCAGTCGAAGTTCTCTTGCCGTTAGAAGCAGAAAACTTACCAAGACCCGACGAGAACACGAACATGCACGAAGCTCTACGATGTGGCTTTGACTTTCCAGCTGAACCATTTGTACCGCTAAACCTGCCGTCGAAAAATGTGGTCGAGCCAGCCAATTCTCTTCGAAAACGTCCATCTAACGCTCCAGCGCCTGTGAGAGAGCACAGTGCACACCGAAATCCATCCCCTGCTCCCCCAATAATGCCACCAAGGGATAATATTGATGATCTGGGTCTGCCGGATACAACAGCAAGACAATTAGACGTGTTGGAACGACGATTATTGACACTGAGTCAGAGAAAAAGAGAGTGGAAGGCTTCTCAGCAACAACTCGAGGCATTACGTGAAGAAGCTGAGTCAAATCCAAGTCTAATGCCGAATGTTCGGGCAATGGAGGAGCAACACGCGATTCGTACAAAGCGGTGGTTTCACACAAAAGAGCGAATTCGTTCTCTAGCGTCCGAGATCCAACACTTGAGAAGAGTTCTGCAGCGATAGTCCGTGAAGAAGATACACACCAACGTCTTATCGTAGTACGGTTTCATACTCAGTTATGAGTGTGGCGGTTGCATCAAATGCAGCCTCGAAGTCGGCATCCTCCATTCCATGTTGCTTGTACCAGTGCACATAGGCTCCTGCGTGGAATTGGCGCTGAGCTCGTTCGAGAAAGCGTTTCGTGGTCGTCAAAAAGTGGCCATTATTCACGCAGATCGTTGCAGACGCGTGGGCTTGTAATGACGGAAATGGTGCACGTCTTGAGTAGACTATCGAGGCTTGCGGCATCGTCGCTAGCCATGGCGTAGAAGGAAATGCACTATGTACGATCTGGCCCAGCTTTTCAGTAAAACGACCAGCATCCTTTGGCCCAGGATTGAAGCCGCGAATTACTGTACTTGATGCAATGGTTGCGCGTGAATGCCGTGGGAAGGATGCGACGGTCTGCTGCACTAAACTCTCCAGCATAGCTAGAGACATGTCGAAGTCTGCAACATGTTCGTGTCGACGCGACAGCAAACGTGATTGTGCGATCACCGGAGCGTGAAACAAGGTGGCTGACGAGGCCGTTTTTGCTAATGAAGGCTGGGAAGGACGTTTGCAGCGTGAACCTGATCCAACACGGTCTCTATATACGCCGGAACGGACGTCAAGTATCTTGGCTACAGGCATGGGACAAACATCATGCAACAATTTGCCAAAATCGAAGGGTCGAACAGCGCTTGAGTCTCCTATTGCCACTGGGAACAACAGCCCCGCCAGATCTGCAGCAGCCATATTGTTCACTTCTTTTAGCGATACTCGCTGATTATCATCGCTTCCCAGCTTTTCCTGGGCCACCGCTTTCCAGTAACTTGCTGTTCGCAATAACTCGTCATTGTCCTTATAGATTACAGCGTCTGCAACCTCTTGCAGCCATTTCAACGTCAACACCGTATTGTAGTTTTGAAGAGGTGTATCTCCGCGAGCGCATGACGGTGCCACTGACGCAGTCACTATGTAATTCTTCGGATACGTGTCCCTCATGCTTTCCAGCACTCGACAGCCTAAGCCAGACCCTGTTCCTCCACCTAGAGAATGCATCACAACACTGCCTTGATAGCAGTCTATACCCTCAATTTCTCGTTGTAGTGAGTCCATGACAAGCTCCACCATTTCTTTGCGATCATCCAGAGCCAGCGATGTGAAGGATGGAGCTGGAGCCTTCGACCTCGGTCCATGGTATCCCATGGCCCAATTGTTGCCTCGTCCCGCCTGCTCAATGTGCATATGAGCGGGCTGAAAAGCGACAGCACAATCACTGACCTCTTTACATACAGCTCGAACGACTTTAGGCTCCGAGTCCGCAAGAATACAACGTGCAGCTCCAGTTGACGGATGAAACAGGTGTCTGGACAAAGATACTACCTTTTTGGAGCCGTTAACTGCAGCAGTGGAATCTCTAGAGGTGCAGCGGAGCTGCCAGTGTGCACCAGCGTCACCCTGAGTGCGATAATCGCCTTGAGCTTCTCCCGAAGAAGCGGCCAAGCGCCAGTACGCGGCGCCCAACTGATTGCCACATTGCCCCACGTGCACGTGTACGCTCATGTATGAATCATACGTTTCTTTAAGAGTATAATTGGCTAAGAGAAACGTAGTACTTTAAAGCTCATATTTAGTATTAGTAATGTATTTTTCTTAAGCCAAAATTACGCTCTAAGTATTTTTAGCGGTCAGAGCGGCTCGTTTGAGTCACGTAGTAAATGTCGGCGCGCTGCACCGCAGCTAGAAGCTCCGCTTCTTCGTCTTCAGCATAGCTGAGGACCATCGGCTCCGAACCGTTCGAAGCGCTCGCGCTACCAGCACTCCAACCACGTCGAGCCGACCTGAAGTTGTGCTCGGCATTCAAAAGTAGCAGAGACGGTATCGTCGTCTTCATCCTCGTCCATAGCCTCCCGTCGAATGAAATTGTGTAAGCACGCGCAAGCGAAAATGACAGCTTTGGCAACGGTAAACTCGCACTCAATAGGAACTCTGAGAATTTTGAATCGTCGTTTTAAGCAACCGTTCAGTCGCTCTACAGCATTTCTGGCCTTAGCATGCCTCAAGTTGAAGAGTTCTTTCGCCGTGCGCGGTCTCCCAGATCCTTCTGCAAATTCCTTTAGGTGATAGCGCACACCTCGAAAAGGGGTCAGCACCTTTGGGTGCAATGCGTATCCAGCATCGGCTAGGACGTACATTCCATCTCCAATGAGTTGTAGCAGTTCGGTTCGTGCAAGTACCACGGAGTCATGTGCAGCACCCTCTGCACCTGGGTAAATTGACGCGACATTGAGCTGCCAGTCCGAAGCAATGAGGACATTAGTCGAAACCCAACCTTTCCGATTCTGAAATCTCTCCGTGTCTTCTGCTGACATCGCAATAGGTACATGAACGCCATCAATTGCAATCAATGCCTGATCGAAATAGGGAAAATCACGTACGGAATCCATGGGAACGGTCGTGGAAAGTTGAATGATATCATTTAGCGCACTAATGATGGCATACAACCCATAATGGCGATATTTATGCGCAGTAGAATACGCCAAGCCAAACTTCACCACTTGATCTCGACAACTTGCAGCACGCCCAAGCCAGTCCAGCGTTACAGCAAGCACTTCTCGGTGATACTTTATCTTGTTCGAAATGAAAGGCGCGCACGCGTCAAATAGTGAGTCGTATACGCGAGTATCCATTCGAAAGTGATCGCGAAATAGAAAAGGATTATCGCTCTCGTAGATGTCATCGAAAAAGCGTTGGCCCTCTTGGTTCAAAAGGCGAGGCACTGGGAATGTAGCTGGTAATAGACGCAGTATTCCTTTTTGATTAGCCTCCAATAGAGCTCCTACAGCCAGTAGAAGCCATAAGTCATCTTCATCATCGTCTCCAACCATTTTGGGAGTGATCCTGCAACCGACAAGCAGGCTATCTACCTCTATTTAGCACTGTGGTGTTACAATCAATTGGTTGGCTATGATTATTGATGCTGTACTTGCTTTGTTGATACGTACACAGCAATTTCAGCCGGAGCGTTAATTACGCGGTTTGGCAATTTAAAGTCGAACACGACCTAATGATTGTGCTTTGCAGATATTTTAGCAAAACAGTCCATTATTTCTCGATTTTATTACTCTGGTTACGAGGCAAATCTCGGCAATCGAGAAGGCTCCTATTATCGGGCTCCCAAACAAACTCGCCGCAGTTAACCGTTATCCAGTGCCGTCGCTGCTTACTGTAGGTACTGTACACCAGCATTTGCTGCGTACACAGCATTTAACGAGTGTGCCTCTGTTTACGGAGTGTGGTGATGCTAAGGAGGTGCATGACTACTGTACGCGCACTCGAAGAAGAAGATGGCGAGCTCGGAAGTGTTACAATTCGCCCAAGAACACTGTGGCGCTGCAACGTACTGCTCGCGAGAACTCGCGTGAAACCTATGCTCAGTACATGGAGGAGACAAACGAGTTGTGCAAGCGTGTGAAGCTGCGTGGTCGTTTTTACTTCAGGTTTGTGGACGAGGACAAGATGCCCAATATCGAGGAGATGGAGAGCGTTGCTGACATCTTCAAGCGCTTCAACACTGGAGCTATGGGGCTTGGCAGTATCTCGCAGGATATTATCAAGGTGTCAAGCCTGGTGAGGGTGGTGAGCTGCCTGCTTACAAGGTGAGCGACTACATCGGCTCTATGCGTCACACAACTCCTGGCGTGGGTCTGATCTCGCCACCGCCGCACCACGACATTTACTCGATTGAGGATCGGGCTCAGCTAATTCAACCCTTGAAGCGCTCGAACCCGTCGGCTGAGGTGTCGGTGAAGCTGGTGTCGGAGGTTGGTGTCGGCGTGGTGGCTTTGGGTGTTGCCAAGGCTAAGTCGGACCATATTACGGTCGCTGCTTTGCTAGGTGCAGAGGAGTTCGGCTTCGCTACGGGTCAGCTGATTGCGCTTAGCTGCATTATGATGCGTAAGCGCCACTTAAACATGCGCCGCGTTGTCGTCGCTACGTAGGACCCGAAGCTGCGAAGTTCCTGGGCCAGTCCGAGCATGTGATCAACTTCATGTCATGCTGGCTGAGGAGGTGCAAGACTACATGCGTTGTCTGGGCTTCCGCAAGCTTGACGATTTGATTGGCCGCGCTGACCGGTTGAAGGTGAACTTGGACGCTCTGCACTACATGAACCGCAAGCTGGACCTGTATCCCCTTTTTATCAACGCCAGCACGTTCAACGAGGGCGCTGGTGTGAAGAAGGAGATGGAGCAGAACCATGGAGTTGACAAGTGTATCGACATGCGTCTGATCGAGAAGGCCAAGACTGCTCTGGAGATCTAGGCGCGTGTGGTAATTGAGGACGTTGCTACGAACCTGGACCGATCACTGGGTGCTACGCTGTCTCACGAGGTCTGCAAGCGTTACGACGAGGAAGGTCTACTACCCACCTCAAGCTCAAGGGCCACGGTGGACAGAGTATGGGCTTCGGTCTGGCAAAGTGAGTCCGTCTTGGCCTGGTGGGAGACCCGAGCGACTACGTGGATAAGGCTCTGTCCGGCGGCGAAGTGTCGGTCTACACGGAGGAGGAATTCTCGGAGCGTGCAGCCCGGAATACGTGATCATGGCCAGCGCTGTGCTGTACAGAGCTACGCCTACTTCTCCGATAAGACTGGAGAACGCTTCTGTGTGCGCAACTCTGGCGTCAAGGCGGTAGTTAAGATCGTGGGTGACCATGGCTGCGAGTACATGACAAGAGGCCGCGTGGCTGTCCTGGGCTCAACTGGCCGTAATTTTGCTGCTGGAATGTCGCATCGCGTACATTTTCGACAAGAACCAGACTTTCCAGGAGAAGTGCAACATGGGAATGGTGGGCTCCAGGTCGTTGACGGAGACGGCGTCGGATGCTGAGAGTCAGGAGGTGAAGGCTCTCATCTCCAAGCAGGCGGAGCGTACGCAGTCACCTAAGGCGCAGAGGGTGCTGGACAACTGGGACGCGTCGGTGCACAAGTTCATGCGCGTGATGCCGCTCCGACATCGAGCGATTACTGCTGCAGAGCGCGGCGGCTGTCAAGGAGACCAAGAAGTTAGTTTCTTCGTCGGTTTAAACGTTTGGCCACTTAAGGTATGTAAGATGATAATGAGCGCAATGGCAAGATGATAACGAGAATGAACAGTACTTCGAAATATGAAACTAATGGGTTACTACTTGCGCTCTCGCACCTGGCATGTTGGAGTCCAATATAATACCAGCAACGCCTTGGAGTGACGTTACACATTACGAACACTAGAAATGTTCTCTTCGCGCTCTTTGTGTTGGAGAGTCTCGGTCAGTGTCTTGCTCACTTGTCTAAGCACGCTGTATCTTCTAAATATTATGTCAGATGCATATTGGCGATATCTTCATTTGAGTTTGTGTAGAAGTCCTCTTTGTAGGTGCTCCGCCCATATGATCAGGGTTTGACTACCAAACAGTTGGTGCGTGTCGGCTCCTAAATTAGTACTGTGCTGTTCTTCCTGTTAGTGGCCACCACCATAAAATTGTGGGTAAAATCAATTGTAGTGTTTTTATCTTCTCCTCAACAAGAATCGCTATTGGGCCAGAACGTACATTAAATATTTTGTACCCCCAGGGTCAATCTGTGGACTATCGACTCAGGTACTGTACATGTATAATAGCAAAATCGCGCAATCAAACCCGGAGCACCGCCAATGTAATAAAATTGGTGAGACTGATCAGTCAGATAAAGCTGTCCTCCCAGTTTAACAACAAAAGGTTAAATAGACAAACCTTCTTCTCTCGAAGGATAAGCTACTTGCCTTTAATCTGTGCACAGTCTACGGTGTTGTTGGCGTATCTGCTGCGAGTCTTTGTGGCCGTTGACGAAAGCTTTCCAGGACGCTGGCGAGATGATGAGAAATGGTGCTCAAGTATGTTGATCTCTTTAATCGCTGTCTATTTTCAAACAGGGACAATTATCTTGCGTCATAAAATCCTACCTCCACCTTCACATGCCACCCTGCCTGCAATTCAAGGAAAACCACCGATTAAGTCCAGGATATGCATTTATTATTGTGCTTTGCAAATATTTTGCCATCTATTTTAGAGCTCTATAATCGACGAAGCAACGTCACTAAAACAGCTTTTTACGCACCACACTATTTTTTATTTCATACATTTAAAAAGTGGTCTAATTATGGCATATCTCTCTGTTCATTCAGGAAACGTCAGCCGAAGCCATAAGGTTGCCAGGTAAGCTCCTTCAAGCGCAATACTACTAACACCTACGAGGACTGACAGACTGTAACGTGCCTTTAGCGTATGCCATTACACTGCGAAAGAAGAACAACGTTCGACAGCAAACTGATCGGCATTTTGATACAAGGTGAAGCCTTGAAGACGAAGGCGGGGTACACAAAAGATGGTGTTCAGTGAGCAGTACGTTCAGGGTTTTTGACAGCACAGGGCTATACTTTGTGCTAATGATTGACATGTACAGAATAGCAGTTGTGAAGCCTTCGTTGCTGCTGTTTCGAGAAGAAAGCGGTCCTGAAAGCTTAACGCTCCGGTTAATGGTGTATAATGCCCCACCGATTGATTGTGGCACTACTGACGTCGATGCATTCTGCTTTCTATCATTATATAGGTGTTTGTGAAACTGGAGCATTGTATTCTGTAAGTGGCTAACTACCGCTTGAATCTATAAATATGTTTACACTCAAACCTGTAGTGTGTTTTATTTTCTTCGCGTCTAGATAATGGAATCGCCACAAGCTCTTGCTCGAAATGAGATTCCGGGTGACATGAAATTAAATGGAATAATAACGGCTCGTAAAGGGATTATTGAAAGGCAACCTAGAGGAGGAAAAATAAAGAAGTTTTCCTTCACATTAGAAGATAAAGTTCAAGTACTGAAGACAAAGCTAATGGGTTATTTGGAAAAAGAACCTTTTACTGGCCTGCTAATTGACGACGAGCGTATCCACTTTAGGGTAAACAAGGGTGCTGCTCAGAGTCCGTTTTGCGTAATGACCGCAGAAAAGTTTTCGCGTTGCTGATACGGCGATTGAAACGTGTGTCTAGTGATGAGAGAACGAGCTGGAATAACGACGTTCTCGGCTGCCTCCGCTTCGAGGTTTTCGTTTACTGGAAGGAGCGTCCAAGAGCTGTTCCCACGTTGCATCGAGCGACAGCAGCTCGTATAAGGACAGCTACCACCGCCGTGGAGCGTTACCAAGCGGACTCCGGAACAATGTTGGACCCTATTGCATTTAATCACGTGGTAACGACGCACGCCAGGCAACCAGATCATACCAAATATACTCTTCCAGATGACAATACGACGCGTCAAGCCATTGCCCTTGACGATGTCGCAGCACAACTAGCAGCCGAAGTTCCGGGGGAGCAGCAGGCGCAGGTTGCAACGATACGCCTTGAAATTAATGGGACATGGAACAACTTTAGGGTGGATATTACTAGCCTGAGAGCAGCACTAGGGCTTCCTGCATATGAAAATTTTACTCGAGGTATTTTTCACGGGTTTGTACCAGTTGACGCTTCAACACAGGACCTCAACGACACTGATCACATGCCTAGTGAGAACGCCTCCTCGTAACAAGAGGATTACATCATGGATCTAGTGAACACACGAGCAAAGAAAAGTGATCCCTATCAATATTTTCGTCTCTTCGACCTCAATATATGTGTTCATTAGCTGCTTTACGAAGAACTAAGAAAATTAAACGAGTCGTCCCGTAATTCCGTCGAGTCGTACCCGCAATGACCAAAAACATCTAGCAACCCCCATGTATCGCGACGTGTGCATAATTTCATGGCAACAGCCAATACTTCGTCGGGATACAGCGGAAATACGAGGTTTGCGTAACGCTGGATCCACTTTTTGAGTGATCCAAAACACAGTTCGATTGGGTTCAATTCTGGGCAGTATGGGGGAAGAAAAAGAAGGCGTGCCCCGGTTTGATGCACTACCGATTCCAGCTCCTTTAAATAAATGAATCTTGGCGTTATTTAAGATAACAATAGAGTTAGGAAATGGTCATGGGTTCAATACTGGAATGAAGTGCTTCGCAAAAGCACGATGAAAGGAACTTCTAGTAAATATTCCGTCCGTCGTTTCCCATGAAACAAAACCTTTGTGGTTTACAGCGGCAAAAATTGAGCGGCGCTTTCCTCTTGAAAACGGGAGTTTTACCACGCGCTTTTTATTCCGGGCAGACCATCCATAACGCCGATAAGCGTGACGCCCATCCTTGGACGTCTCGTCAATCAATATTAACTGCTCAGGGTACGAATATATGTTACGAAGTTTAGCCTTGTAATTAGCTATCTCTAATGCAAAAACAAAACAATTGTCAATATTTTAATCCACACGCCAAATGATATGTTCCATTACCTCCTGAGGAACACTTTCTCGAGCAGCAGGAGTGATGACGTTTCGAGTCAGTCCCAATTCAAAATTAAGAGCGCGACAAATAGTTGACAGCGAAATGTTCTTGACGTCTGCGTAGTTTTCACGTAAAAAACCTTGGAGTTTCTCCAAGTAAAATGTCGGGTGTTGTTTTACGTATCGCTTGACGCCTGCTAAAACGTCCACAGGCCATCGTGCTGTCCTGACAGGCGGCTTGTCATCTTCAACAACACCATTGACAAGAAACAAATTGTACCATCGAAAAATAGTCTTTGGTTTCGGCCCAAAAATATCACTGATAAACTGAACATCGAGGCCGTATACATGCATAAGAGAAATCGCACACCATCGATAGTCTGCTGCGTAAGTCATGCGGCTTGTTTGAATAGGGCGTCGCTAGTAGTGGCTGGTTGGTCAATTCTGTGAGTGATGTTAATTTAGGGCTGGGAGAGACAGCTTCTCTATAATGCACTGTCGACTCTGTATTTCAGACCAGTTTTCGGACACCTTATTGTGGTAAAATCAGAGCGTCCGTAGCTTGTTCGCAGAGATGGTAAAGTGCCTCCACGAGACCGCGAGTACCACTACCTGCAGAAAACGTGGCATCCATAACCTTGGGCGTCTCCTCGACATACTGATGAAGTGTGCTCGAGCTGGCCGAATTTAAAGTGAATGGAATAAACATTAACAATGTATTCATCATCTGTTATTTATGTAAAGGTCCAACGCAATGCCCAAAATCCTAAATCAAAACCTGATCGTGTAAGAGACGGCGACCGACTCAGATGGGCGTAGATGGCCACACGGCTCTGATGAAAATCTGCAAAACAGAAAATATTTGAATTAAAAAATCTGACGCATTCAAAGGGTCTAGCCTGTGTAGCCTGCCTGTCGCCACAAGGATGTTAGAGTGCGCCTGGTAGTCAACTACCGTTTACTTCTCGGCCTAAATGAGCACCTCCTTGATGATCGATGTGCACTCGTCAAGAACAATACAGTAGCTAAATGTACTTCGAAGTAGTAGGTTACCTTCGACGACGCTTGGTCTGGTCTCTTGACTCTCGCGCTCTACGTGTGGGTGTTCTTGATCTTGCAGATCAACGAAAGACTGAGGCAATATCGGGTTTACCGGTACCGATGTCTGAACAACCTGAGCGTGACGGACTCTGTTACCTTCAAGTTGTGGAACAACAGGCTCAGGTTGCTGCGGTACGATCTCTGCGACCTGAACTTCAGGCATCGGGGCTGGTGTTTGTTGGACAACATGATCGAGAACGTGTGTTTCCGGTGGTGCAGGCTGCTCTGCAGCCTGCACCTCAGGAATCCGCGCTGATGGGTCAGGCTCTTCATCTAGCCGAATCAGTCGCTTCCAATAAATCAGCAAGCGCAGATGGCCCGTACATAGCACCCTCGGGCTCTTCGGGATCAAATTCGTCATTGTCGGCCGTCTTGACCTCGCGGTTCGCTATCCGTCGAAAAGTACGCGTTTGGTGTGCTGGTCGCACAAATCGTTAGGGCAGGAGCTGGCATACCTGGACATGCAAGCCCAGCAAATTGGGTTGCTTTAACAACATACAGGCATATCCCAGTTTTCTTAAAGCACAGACACGGACACGTTATTCCAGTAGCATCAACAACCCATCCACTGCGGGACATGTTGACCCAGCTAATTCTAGTTTCAATTACCAAATCTGTAAACAAATTCGGTTTTACTGCACACAAATCCGTGCGCGCCAAAATTGAAGGCTGAGCTGCGCTCGCGCCAAAACCGCGCGTCCAAGACAAGGCCAGTCGACGTACTCTCACTTCTCGTTTTACCATCAACTACGCAGATGCCCCCCTACAAACATCATACTGTTGCTGAAAAGCAGCGTGTCCTTGAAGCGTACCAGTCTGTGAAACAAGTGCGTGTCGAGCCTACAACCTGCAACAACGAAGTCAGCCTGTTAAAGCGCCAAGAATTTGCGAAACAGCTCAAAGAACACCAAGAACAAGGTAACCGAATTGTGTAATATGACGAAATCAATGTTAATGTGCACTTGAAGCGTAAAAAAGGACGCGCTAAGCGAGGAAAGCGTGCTGTCCTGAAGATGCCGCCTTCGAAAGACGCGAGCCTGCAGGTGCAGTGTGCTGTGTCGTCCAGCATTGGACTCGTCACCTACCGACTTCAACGAGGCAGCATTCGTATGGACAAGAATGCTACTTTTGTGGAGGAAATTTACGCGGCTGTCAAGGCGGAGTTAAGGAAGTACTATGAGGACAAGATGGTCGTGATCGTCATGGACAATGCTCCTGCGCATCGCCAGACCGAAGATCGCGTCACTAAGCACGCTGACATAGAGTTGCTGCACTTGGGGCCGTACTCCCCAATGTGCAGCCCCATCGAAGCGTGCTTCAGCGTTTTGAAGGCTCATATCAAGACGGAATTGGCGTATTCCGAGATGAAGTATGCGACCACACCCGGGAACCGGACCGAGACGAAGAGGTCCTCTCCATTGCTGAGCGGCAGATGCGTCTTCTGAAAAGGGCTGCGAAACACAACATGAAGTGGATAACGCCTGTGTTGGTCTCTCGAACGGAACTGCATTGCCGTAAAACGGTAAATGCAGCAGCGGACGGGAAGGCAATGGAGTACGGCACGTAATGTACGGATTTGTATGCAGTAAAAACGAATTCGTTTGCAGGTTTGGTCATTGAAACTCAGAAATTTTCGTAATTGAGTTGTTCATCACGGATTTGATTGCCGTTTAGAACGAATTTGAGTGCGCAAAGGTGTAAATTGTTGTCTCGGTGAACCAATTCCGCAGTCATGACCTTTTTCTTTTCCGTCCTCGTGTAAGCAGCGAGTAAACGCTTGGATACATTAGGCTGATCGCTAAAGGGTTTCATTAAGGATATAAACGAAATTCGTGACAAATCCAGGCGGACTACAAGCTCTGCTGGGTTAGTCCGTTTGCTATCATTCACAATTTTTTAAGTGTAGTGGTACTGCTCAAGCGGATTGTTAGTAGCCGCGTAGCCTGTGGGGGTATGAAAAGCCTGCCAACGTGAAAAGCGGGCGCCTAAGATCCACTGCGAAATAATTTTATTTGACACACGACGAAAGCGAGGACATATTGCACCCGCTCCACGCCACGACCTCACCACAAACTCTCGTTTACGGAAATATTCCTCTTCATCAGTAGCGTAATGCAAATCATAAAGATTCCGGAATATCAGCTGAACTGACGCCCCATCCAACCTGCCTTCTCGCGTTTGTCTTTGCACATTTTATGCTACATGAAACCAGCACATTAGGACAGTGCTATCTGGTAGCTCGCTTGTACAGGCATTGTACTGAGCTTTGTCAGCGTCCATCATTACAAAATCGGGCGAAAATGGCACGTCAAACAATTCCAGAGCCACACGCTTTACGAAAGCCAGGTACCAAGTCACGTCTTCATTTCGACGTTGTGATGTACAGCAGTAAGTATTGACAGGACACTTCCAGCGCGAGCTGAAATACCTACACCAGAAACAGGGTATTTCTGCTTTACGCAGTCGTGCGTAGTGTCTAGATATAGAACCGTTGGAAGATCCAGGTTTTGTTGCACATTCACATAGCTCTCTAGTAGTCTTGTATATGTTAATCCAATACGAAATGGATTGCCTAACGCATAGGTGCCAAGAGTTGGTTCAACTACACCATCCACCACTTTGCTATCACAAAAAACTAGCAGAGAATCCGGATTTTGATACCAAACTCTACGACACCTCCTTACAATCGTATTTACACTGTCGACAAATCTCTAGCACAGGCTCCATTGAGTCCGGCCGATTTTTGCGCAACCAACCTTTTTGATAGTTCTGCACCTTGGCTAGCTCTGGAGCGGGACCCCTATTGCGCCGGTCTCTTATCTTACGACACAGAAACAAGTACAAAGCTTGGGCCACAATTTGAGGGATGTCTTCGAGCTTAGTGTTTAGATAGGTTTTCATTTCAGGAGTTAGTTTGGCTGTTGTAGGTAAAGACAACGCATCTTCAGCCATGATGTGTACGCCTTGCTCTAATACAATTTTTCCGTCACTTTCTTGGCATTCTAGTAGCTTGTATCGACAGCGGCAGGTTTATCCAGACGCCTTGCAACGCTTGGAGGTACACTTTGTAGCTATGTACCGCATTTCGTGCCATGTAGTCGCTAAGCTGT